TAGATAGATAGATACGAACAGACTGAAATAGATAGATAGATAGATAGATAGATAGATAGATAGATAGATAGATAGATAGATATGAAGCGACTGAAATATTGTATATTAGCATAAATTAACAATTCTGTTCTTTCGTCTGTGTATTTATGTATTTTCTATTCAGGCAACGAAAGGATGAACCTGTTTACAATAAAACTGTTGTTTATTAACTCAACTATAAATTCTTATGAGCGTGGGCGTAGATTTATGCATATATTAACATATATTACGTTTCAATGCAACAACGACATGAATTTAAATGAACGTGTCCCAGCCAATACTAATACACACACACACACACACACACACACACACACACACACACACACACACACACACACACACACACACACACACACACATATATATATATATATATATATAATTACTAAACATTTCCCGGCATGTCCCACTTCCCAGAAATTTGACCAAGTGACCAAACGTCAGAATTTAATTTGCGCTGTGAATCAATTCTTGGTCCGTACGTCCCCTCGTATACATATATATATATATATATATATATATATATATGAAGCAATGCTTTGTCTGAACCTGTTTTATTCAAAAGGATATACAGGGAATGTCTGTTTAATACTTTGCTGTTTTACAGACGTACACACACACACACAGATATATATATATATTCGTATATGTCTAGACGTTATTTTATTTGATACACATTGTTTGAGTTGACGCCCCGTTTTTTTTTAAACAGTGTGAATAACCTCAGCCGGCCTAAGCATTCTAGAAACTTAATAAAATGTTACAGGAGCATATGTCCCTTTCTTGCGTCTCTCGACTGCACAAGCCGTTAGACACTATACACTTTTTTTTTTTTAAAAAAAAAAAAAAAAGGCCGTCAACTCAAACAATGTGTATTCAATAAAATAAAATCTCGACTCATATATATATATATATATATATATATATATATATATATATATATATATATATATATATATATATATATATATATATATTCAGAATGCAGTTGATAAATTTTCTAAGTTACGAAAAAATGAAAAAACACTGACATCTCATTTTAACAGATATATTTACCAAAATTAAACATGTTATTTTGAAATACTAAAGATTAAATTTATTCAATAAAATCGCCATTGTCTTCAAACACCGCCTCCAGACGACTTCGGAATCTCCTGCAACTCTTTTGGACAGTCTCCTTGTTTCAGTTGTTGAATGCTGCCATATTCCTTGACTTCTGTTCATTTTTGGTCTTACAAGAAGATTTGTTGGTCTCTTGCTGAACTGTGCCCCACACATAATAATCAAGGGAATTGCGGTTTGGTGATTAAGGTGGTCAGATATTAAGAGTGATGTGGTCGATGGTCATCAAGGTCTCATTATTTTGAAATTGCTAAATGTAGCCGTAAGTTTCTTCCATCGCTTGTGAAACTCTCTTCCGGCTTCTTGCTTCTCTGTTAACTGTGATCTTCAAAAATTTAAATCCAACGTCTTCTTAATTCCAGTTCTTTTATTGTCCTCACTCCTTAATAGTAGTTTTTCTCATATTCTCTAACACTCAGTAACCCCTTGCCTCCTAGTGGCTTTATTGCCTTTGATCTTCAAAAATTTAAATTCAATGTCAATCGTTATTTTCTCTCTTCTTAATTCCAGTTCTTTTATTGTCCTCTCTCCTTAATAGTAGTTTTTCTCATATTCTCTAACACTCAGTAACCCCTTGCATCTTAGTGGCTTTATTGCCTTTGATCTTCAAAAATTTAAATGCAATGTCAATCGTAATCTTCTGTCTTCTTAATTCCAGTTCTTTTATTGTCCTCTCCTAATTAATAGTAATTCTTCTCAGATTCTTAGTGGCCTTGGGAGGGAAATCATCGAAGCTGTTAATTCGTTCAAGATGTTTAGGAATTGTGTGCACAGTCAATGCCCATTTCTTTCCACCTCTATATGCATAACTGGCTGCTCGTATTCTAGAATAAACCTCTACCTTGGCGGCTCGCTAATCCCTATTGCAGACGCTTGCTCAGGTACATGGCTTATACTGCATGTAGGCTGAGCACACCTTAGTTACAGTTTTGTTTTCTGGCGTGATCATAAATTTAAACAAGGTTAACACGCTCAAGCCCCCCCCGACTAGAACAGCTATCGATTCCCCCCCCAACCAATTTTACTCACAGGGTATGGATCAATCCGTAGTATCGTTTTCACGCACTTTGCAAACTTTGCCGCACGCTGGATTGATCCGCCCAGATCGTCTCCGTCCTGACGGACGATGGCGAGATCCGAACACGGGTCCCCATGATCAGAATACGAACGGCTCCGTGCCCAAAATAAAAATGAAATATCAAAACTTTAACGGTTCAAATAGTATAGTATATCCGTCTACTAGGGCTGCTAGCCAATCCCTATTGCAGACGCTAGCTCAGGCACATTTGTGTTTATTCAACACCCACAGAGCCTGCCCGTGGTTTATACTGCAATTATGCTGAGCAGACCTGGGAAAGAGCTCATTATCAGTAATTTGAACAAGGCCATCACGCTCAAGCCCTCGGCCACGATGACTTGTGCTAGTACAGCTCTCGACGGCCTTCAAGGGTTCCGTCTACTCAATTTCACTCACAAAGCTTGGATCAACCCGTGGTATGGTTTTCAGACACATTCCAAATGTGTCGCACGCTGGAGTCGACCCCCTCCTATCCGATAACCCCAGGGAGTCTCCGCCCTGATAAACCGACCATACTGAGATTCGAACCCGGAAATGCGAACATTCTAACCACTCGGCCTATTCACCGGTGTTTATATATATATATATATATATATATAAGTAACAAAAATCTTGGTAATCCGTATGGATTATCCCAAGGAGGATGAAATCCTGAGAGCTCAATATTAAGTCAGAGGGAATTATTTAATTTTACAGAAAAACAGACCACTGTAATAATTTATTTCACCAGAGAATTGTATTTTTCTCTGGATCTTCAGAGTATATAGATTTTTTTATGTAGTGAGTTAAATTGTGATGATTTCTATGTCTGCATTTAAAAATCATCTCGTTATGTTGGTTTAGCAATTTATCAGGATCTTTTTGTTTTAACATTAAGATATATATATATATATATATATATATACGCAGATATTTCCAGATTGTTGTATTAGACATGGAAGTAAAAGCCTGTAGCTAGCTGGATCCCAATTTCTATTAACTTTGGATTTCTTTGCTGGGAATAATATGGAATGGATGGAATCCCAAGTCTTGGTAACGGAGAGTTTAAAATTTTTCCTCAGGCCTGATTACTCACTTTCTTTCATAGAGACTAATTAATTCAGATGTACTGATCAGTCTTATACATTTAAATGTGCCTGAGCTGACGTCTGGCGCAGGGATTAAATACCAGCCAGCAGCCAGCCAATTATATCAAACTACAACTCGGCGTAAAGCGATTATCTGGCTTTATACGTGATGGAATATTTTCCAACCACCAACCCCTTTCCCGCTGAATTAATAGTCACAAGACGCTCGCTACCCTCTCAGACAAGCTGTATGTTTTAGTTCCACCACTTCAAACCTTTACAGCTAGGACCCAGCATGCCACGTACACAGATTCGCACCATCTACATTCCTTTCCTATTTCATTGCTTATAAACAAGTTCAAGTTCTTCCCGAGAACTGTAGGACACACTCCCAAGAGGATGCTTTCTTGAACACTACGATCTTAATCTCTTCAAGTCAATGATAAACCTTTATCTATCCTACATATCATCTTAATCTGAACTTACTTCCGCCTTTTACGTCCATGCAACACAACTGATTTAGTGAGCTACCTTGAGTGCTTCTTGAGCCTCGTATTGTGTGAACATTTAGTTAAAAAATTACGTGAATGTAAATGGAAAGCGGCAGGATATATAATACTGCAAATCTCTATTGATTGTATTTTACGGCTTATCAACCTTTTTTTTAGGTTATTTAAAATAAATTCCTCCCTAGAGGAGTTTCCAACGCATTACTTATCATCTCTCAGTTGCGTCTCTGCTTTTGGGTAGTGTGAGCTCAGGGGCTACTCTGTCAAGAGATAGAATGATAACTGAGAAAATTATACTGAGAGGTGCCCAGCCCTGGGTAACAGCTGCCCGAGGCCGCGCCCTCATGGCACCAGAGAGAGAGATCGGTGCTCGATCCGAGGCCAGCGCAACGGAAGGTTGCAGGTGCTGTGGGCAATTTTTGTCCCTTACCCGGGTGTACGCTCTCGGGTCTCCACCTAAAAAGGACCTTGTGTCACATCTCTTTCTAGTGGGGGGAACGACTAAAAAATTTTTAGATTGGAAAAAAAATTTGAAGTTAATCTTTAACTGATAAAAATTCCAAATCAAAATCCAGAGTTAAGCCATTCCTGTTGTAGGAACCACATTCCGATTAACCATGTCTTCAGGCACGTAGCTGTCCTCAACATGCTTTACCAATTGCGGGTTAGTGAGTTTATTTAACCCGTAGTTTGAGGTTTCGAATTCAGAGTCCTCCTTCTCCTAGACCAGTTGCTACCCAACGCTTTAGGACCCGGTATATTCTCGTATTTACCCCTAAAAGAATTATACCTTTACCAAGGGTATTTGGACGTTAGTCAATGTAGATAAACTCGACTGGAATTCAACCTCGGCTCTCCAATTCCGCAATTCGAGCCAGTAAGCATTAACCCAATGTACAGCCGGTTTACTGATACAAGTCCTACTAATTAACCCTTACCTGGGGGAGAAGGTGTGGATTCATAACTTCCCCAGGAGTATTTGCGCTTAAGTGAAGATAAAGAACCCAACTGCAACTTGGTATATCCATGCTTACACTATCTGGTATTCCCAAGCGATCATCCGTCTAGTTACTGACCGGGCTTGACGTTGCTTAACTTCGGTAGTCGTACGAGAACCGGTCTTTAAATGTGATATGACTATAAGCAATATCACCCGAACTTTTAAGTTTACAGCACATGGTATTCCCAAACTGTCACCCGTTTAGGTACTAACCGGGCTTGACGTTGCTTAACTTCGCTAGTCGTACGAGACTCGGTGTTTAAACGTAAAATGGATGTAAGCCATATCACACGAACATTTAAGTTTACAGCACTTGTATTCCCAAACGGTTACCCTTCTAGGTACTGACCGGGCTCGGTGTTGCTTAAATGGTGTTTCAAATTGATATATGACTTTAAGTTGCATATTTAAAAGTTCTGTTTATAATGCTGCTAAACGGCTGAAGATATTCGCTAACCGCCGCACGCGGTCAGATGTGGCACAAGGCCGAAATCATAGTCGGGTATCCGAACCCGTAGGCTCGGCTAAAAATTCCCTGTGGAGTCCGTAAAAACGGGGTCGTGTTATTCTCTCCCGAAAACTGATGGCTGATATGTTAATAAGTAACTTGCTATTCAGTATTTCATTAATATCTTTTTTATTATTTAATCATAGTTCATTAAAAAAAAAAAAAGCACTGGCTTTTATGGACATTCTGGAAAAAGACAAATAGCTAGCTAGCAAGCTTGCTAGAATATCAAACAGGTTTTAGATATGTGAAGATATTTATGGGCGGAGTCTACGTTCGCAATGATAATTTGTTTCCGCTGGTCCCAAAGCTTTTTTGTTTTCTGATCCCAACATAAAGACAGACATACAACCTTTCTACAAATTAATTCAAACAAAACAAATAATTCCGTTATTATTGATTGTTTATTTCGTATTTTCCCAATGAAACATAACCCAATAAACACATGTTAGTACTTCGTATGTCCATTCCACGAAATAGTTTGCTTGTAGATTAACCACAGCTTCTCGATTGGATATAAATCAGGAAAGTTTCCGAGCTAATCTATAGTACGTTTATTTGCCCACTGGTAAGGCTTGCCAGTGTGTTCTTGTAGCGTTACAATTTTCATACGCTTCCTTGGAGTAACGTCCATCGCAGACAATGGTCGTAGGACAACTAATCGACAGTCTAGACAATAGTGTCTTAGTGTGATAAAAATCTGATGCAATCACGGATGATACAATATGTTTCAAGGCCAAACAAATTTCATTATACACCTCGAAAATAGATCCACACCACTGCAAATGACCTAATATGGGGAAAGATAGAAATTGATTACACCCTGTAACTCTACTGGGGTCTAAAACTGACCGTATGGTGAAAGAAAGGAAACTAAAGTAGTTCTTTCAATTAATTTGCACAAGGGTATATGCAAAACGAAATTAACCGTTTCGAGTATTGCTGTCATATCTGGGCTGGAGCTGCACAATCCTCTCTTTCCAGCCTTGATAGAGCCCTTCTGCCATGCTTTATCTTTACAAGACTCAGATCAGGCCAAAAGTGGAGCGTTGCTGCCATATTTAGTCTGGAGCTGCACAATCCTCACTTTCCAGAATTGATAGAAGTCAAAAGCATCTATGGAACTGTGTAGGTGATGAATTATTTCCCACCCTGCAACCCTTTTCCCACAAACAAAAAGTCGCGAGCCTTCTCGCTATTTCCATGGCATATGTTGTGACGAGCTATATTCCTTGGTCCCGCTCATCCCTAACCTTTACAACTGGGACCCTCCATGACGCATGCACAGGAGTGAATCACGCCCATTCCCCTTAAATTCTATCAGTAAGAAGTAAGTTCCACTTGGATAACGTTTTCCCAAGAATAGATTCTTTTTGCAACAACACTTTTCCCCGATCACTATAATCTTGACCTTTGCAAGTTCATGGTTAACAGTTATCTTTTCTGTATAACTACTTTATAGCTTTGTCTTTGCTTACATGTTGAGTCCGTGGTATTCTCAGCATCCTTCTGTAGAACCACATTTCTGTAGCCTCGTGTCTCTTCTTCATCTGTGACGAGATTTTCCTGCCATATTATAAGAGAAGTGGTATTGCGTAACAGTTGAGTACTCTTTTCGTCGTTTCTAACGAAATTTTCCAGTTTCTTAATACTTTGCTTAGCTTTTTGGAAGGCACCTTTCGCTATCCCGATGCACCCCGCGGATTTTCACTTTCCGCCCTCTATTAAAACACCTCCCATACATTTAAATTGTTGTACATTTTTTTTTTTTGATTTTGGTATCCCCAATTTGTAATTTGCATATTGGGATGCCCCTTTTGCTAACAACCATGAATACTGTCCTTTTGCAGTTGATGTTTAATCCTTTTTTCTCGCTTTCCTTCCCTATCTTCTGTAGAAATTTTTTGTAGCTTTCTTTCTGTGTCTGCTATTAACACTGTGTCATCTGCATATCTTATGTTGTTAAGATTGTGGCCGCCAAAAATGAATCCTAGTAGTTCTCTCAGAATCACCTCAGCGTATAGGTTGAATATGTCCGGTGAGAAGGCCCACCTTTGTCTTACACCTCCTTCTATTTTTGAATATTTACTGAACTCATTTTCTATCTGTGTGCCGGTTTTAGATTATTTTAATATCCTTTCTAAATATGTCAAGACGCCTCTTTTTCTTCTATGTACTGTATCCCTTCAGAGTGTTGACGATCATGTCTCTCCACAATTTCCTGTCCTTTGTAGCTCTTAATAAATATTGTCTTTTTGTTATCTCTCCTAAACCTTGGTTCCATATCCATTTACTCAAGCTCATTCTTCTGTGTACCGTATCCCTTCGGTAAGTTGGCGATCATGACTCTCCACAATTTCCTCTCCTTTTTGGCACTTAATAAATGTTGTCTTTTTGCTATCTCTCCTAAACCCTGTTCCACCATCCATTTTTGTTGCCTCAAGTCTTCTCTGCATCTGTGAGAAAATGGTCCAATATTCACTGCCATATAGAAGGATTTGTATCACATAAACAGTTCAGCACTCATTTCTTTGTCTCTGACAAAAATTTCCTGTTTCTTAATTCTTTGCTTAGCTTCTGGAGGGCTTCATCGGCATCCCAATGTGTCTTCGGATTTCAATGTCACAATTTTCGTCCGCTGCTAAAACACTTCCCAGATATTTAAATTGTTGTACTTGCTTGTTTTTGTTATCCCCAATTTGTAATTAGCCTGTTCGGCTGTCCCTTTTGCTAACAAATATGCATTCTGTTTTCTTGCAATTGAAGTTTAGTCCTTTCTTCTCGTTTTCTTTCACTACATTCTGTAGGAGTTCTTGCAGTTTCCTTTCTGTGTCTGCTATCAGCATTGTGTCATCTGCATATCTTATGTTGTAAAATTGTGGCCGTTAATAATGAATCTTAGTAGAAATTTTAATTTCAATCAGGTTTAATAAGTCCGGTGAAACGACTCATCCTTGCCTTACAGCCCTTTTTATTTTTGTATATTTACTGAATTCGTTTTCTATTCTTAAGCAGAAGGTTTGCTACTAATATAGGTTACGGATTATTCTAATATTCTTCCTTTAGATGTCAAGGTTGCTGAGCAATTCTTTATTAAACGGCTATGAATAATCTGTAAAACATAGGTGTATATAATTTTGGATTTGTATTGCTCACTCTGTTAAAACTTCCTTGTTTCATAATGTTTTTTCTTTGTTTTAATAATTTTTTTTTTGTCTATTTTTAGCAAACATCACGATACAGTATGGCCCCTACGGCATAATACGGATACTTGGGAAAGAAAATAAATTCATGTGCTTTAGCAAAAAAGGACGACTTATTTTGCGGGTGAGTTGAGTTTTGATTTACTGATCACCGAAGTTAAGCAACGTTTCACATGATCAATAACTAGATTGGTGAACATTATTTATACCAAGAAACATGTGGCTTTGTAGAAGACAAGGCAATACAAAGTAAATAAGAAAATGATAATGCCGAATCTCACACTATGTTAAAAGTAAAAGTTTTTTTCTCTGATCTCCGAAGGTAAGCAACGTCTTACATGATCAATAATTACATGGGTAACTGCTTAGAAATATTATTTATCCAAATAAACTTGTGGATTTGTAGAAGACAAGGTATTACAAAGTAAATAAGAAAGTGATAATGTCGAATCTCCGACTATGTTAAAAGCTGATCTTCAAAGGTAAGCAACGTCTTACATGATCAATAATTACATGGGTGACCGCTTAGAAATATTATTTGTCCAAATAAACTTGTGGCTTTCTAGAAGACAAGGCAATACAAAGTAAATAAGAAAGTGATAATGCTGAATTTCACACTATGATAAAAGCTGATCTTCTAAGGTAAACAACGTCTTACATGATCACTAATTAGATGAGTGACCGCTTAAGGAGTTAAGATTATATAAGAAACCAGCAGTCTTGTACAACGTAATATGAAGTGAATTAAAAAAAGTTCTGATAAAGCTGATGGTCAAAACATGCTAAAAGTAAACGTTGTCTTCTGGTTAAGTTAAACAACGTTAAAATTGATCAATAATTAGATGGGTAACCGCTTAAGATGATCAGTTATTTGTAAGAAACCTTTGTCTTTGTGCAAAGCAATATAAATTGAATAAAAAAACAGTTCTGATGAAGCTGATGATGAAACCATACCAAAGTTTCTCTTCTGATCGAACAAGTTAAGCAACGTCAAAACTGGCAATAGTTAAACGGGTAACCGCTTAGAAAGATGACTCTTTCAAAGTAAATTCTGGCCATATGCCTGATAAAGCAAATAAAAATAGTGATATGACTGATGTTTAAATCTTCTCTGGGGCCTAAAACGCCAATATACTTCTTTCCACGCTTGCAATACCGGATGCAGGTGTTAGGTTATGTACATCATCATTCGGTGACAGCGGGTAATCCCAAACCAACCCACTGATGCACCTGGCTTCTTTGATGGCCTGGTCTAACTTTACGGAAAATATGAAATCTGAGAAAAAGGTCCTAGATCCTTCTGTTTTGAAATCTGGAAAGTGAATACCATTGAGTTTCAATTAGATTGATCGGATGATTATATTTGGCCGGGGGGTAGAAAATTCCACCCGAGATATCGTTATTCCAGCTACCCCTTTCATAAAGTATTCAGGACATTTCCCCCAACAATTTACTGATTTACTACGCGAAAGTTTAGGTGTGGCACAAGGCCGATGATGGGGAGCGCCTAGTGAGGATGGAACACCTCCCAAACCATAACCAAACCATATGAGC